CTTTTTTTTTTTTTGGTTATCTTGCTTCCACCCAAGGTTCACAGTCTTCCCTGGTTCAATCATTCAGACAGGTTACTCAAGTGCTTTGGGTGCATTCACGCGCGACTTTGGCCTGCATACCACATAGGGGGTCATGACATCCCTGCAACCCCCTAGAGGGACCTGTAGAAGATGCCAGGCACATACAGTAGCCAGCAATTTTGTTGTACATCCGAAGCCCCAAACTTGGTCAGAGTTGAAAAGAACTTTAAACTATATTTCATCAGCACTTAGCAATGAACATTAAGTCATGGTTTTGCATAATGTGGTAGGTAATCGAATGGTGGTCCTTGTCTATGTACCCTAAATAGTAGAGAACAGTTTTTTGGGGGACCCCAAAAAGGACCTTTTTTTTGACAACCTGCCAAATCCCAATGTGGGACCAGTAAAACCCTATCCCTGTGTTGGTTATGCCTTTCAGGAGAAGCTGATCTTGAAGTCATTTTGATGTAAGTTTCGCTAGCTTCGGCGCATTCTTTAGCACGACCTGTTTGAAGTTCAAGTATTTAAGGCTTTAGCTTTCTCAATTTGACAATTTCACGTCCAGTTCAACACCAGAGGATCGGGATAAAGTGGAACGCTCGGAAGCAAAGTCTCATATGATTCTGCACAACTCTCCCTTCTGGAGTGATGTTCCTAAACCCAATGATCCTGGGTTGTCAGCATAATCATTTCTGGCAGAAGGGTACCTGTGCATACCTCAACAACGAAGAGCCGTCTTGTCGGTATCCCCAACAGAGTGACCCAGAACGTTGCAAAGCCGTTGTACACCCCCCTATCACGGCCAGTCATTCTCCTGACCCTATACAAGATATCTCCCAAATCTTAAGCCCTACACACCTCAAACCCCAAACACACTGGCCCAATTACAGCCTAACCCTTAGTACCCTACCAAAATCCCTCAATCCTCAACCCTAAAGTAACCCTCAGCAGCTCTGGAAGGACCTGGGTATGATCATCCAGTACTTCCGGGAGGTTTCGCATATCTTGGAAGCTAGGCTGCAGCAGTCCCCCTTTTTGGTTCAGGGTTCAGGGTTTCTAAATTCTACGTAGAGCGAGCAATCTACACCAAAAAACCGGTTGTATGGTGATTAGATCAGTGTTCAGGGTTTTCTGTCATGCCGGGGTTTGAAAGGAATACCGGTCCAATAGCAGAAGCTAAAATGGGAAAGAACATCAAACAAGAGATGGAACCTGGATTTATGTAGGGGTTGATAGGGATAGCATGTAGGGGTCTAGTCTAGAGCAACCAACGTGCCCTAGAATAGGGGTTTGTTCCCAATAGTTCGGTACCTTTACCGTGTGCTGCCAGGTCTAGCCTAGCCTAGGGTCCAGGGCTTTGGGTGTCTTTTGTTCGAGCACTTAATGTTGCAAGTTTAGGGTTCAGGGTAAATCTCATGCAAGAATCTTAGCTCCATCACAGAACGGCATGATGTTGGACGTACTTTCTACTGGAGGGTTTGGTGGGCTTATGCTTCGGCGCCTTGGGTAATTCTTGATGGTCAATACCCTGCATGACCTTAAATACACTACGGCACTAGAGTTCCAAAGGTTAAGCTGCCATAAAAGGTCATTCAGGATTCTGTCCATCAGCCGCATCCCATCTAAAAAGTATTGAAAGTCATGCGTCCAGGACGTCAATGTCTTCGCATATGACTACACCGGATATGGAATGAGCTCAGGCGGGCGTTATCCAGGGAACCTAACACAACAATCTTCCAACTCTAGAATCAGCGCGACTCCATAGCGAGACGTTTTCTACCCATATGCTTTAAGATAATGTTTTTCAAAGAGGGGGGGGTGCTTTAGTTTGTAGGAGGGCAATGATCACCCGGGCGGACTGAAGGAAATCACCGGAAGGGATAAGTTTTGATCAGCTCCACTGGAACCTTGACTGCCACACGATTTGGGCTTTGGGGCTTAGGGCCTACATTACCGGTCACCATCTAAGTCAAAACGACTTCTTGGTTAATGCGGATGGAAATGGGGAGCGCAGGAGGCAAGTCGAAACAAAGTGTGGCCTCCCTGGAACCCTCAACCCTAAACCCNNAAACCCTACACCCTAAATCTTAAAGCCTAAACATCTAGAGTTAGAGGTGATGTTGTTAAACCAGTGGAAGAGACACTGCTGCGGTGGTCCAGTACCATATCGATTTTTGGAGTGTGGCCGGGGGTATCACCAGACGCATTGTCTGAGGATGTGGCTCTTTCATACCTTGTGCCTGGCATTTTGAATGCGTCCTCTTTCAATCTTAAACATTGCCCCTGTTGCAAAACATGGATGTGGAGAGCCGCGGTCACAGGGCAACACGCACTGGCCGCTGCCACTAATACTGACAGGCTTGCATGTAGACGCATGTGCGTCAATTGCTGCATGGTTGCAGCGCTTAACTGGGGATAACTTTCTTCTTTCATAATTTGCTGAAAATGTTTCTAGCGCGGGGTTCCTTGGGGGAGCGCTTCCCGAGCTGCTCTTGTTAGGACGCCAGTGTTCGCTTGTACTTATATACACATATGCGCACGGAGAAATATGTTATTGAAAGTGTTTTGGGGACTTTGCCCTGCCGCTGCTCGCTGCGAATTTGACTCCAGGTAAACCGTCTGAGCAAGCGCTCTATGCTGACATCGAGGCAGGACACGATCAATTTCCATGTAGCACGCAAAGGGGAATGTACGTGGGATGTACGTGGGCCCTTCAGGTCTTGTACCAAAGTGCCACAAATCCGGTGCACTACTCACCCTGGTGCTAAATTGAAAAAGCGCGCATGCTCAAAGTGAAGCTTTGGAATAAATCTTTTGGCATTCCCGGGTCCTTACAGCCTGCAAATCCTAAACCCTGCAGCTTCAAAAAACATGTGGGCGAACCTCTGATAATCCCTGTAGAATCCTTAGACCAACCTATAACAACATATGTAGTAGTTTCCATTTTCTTTTCCCATTATCCTTATAGTCCCCCAATATGATATAGTAGTTCAAGCAAATGTCTGGTTTCAGTGCTTGGGTCCCCCAGCCCTAAACCCTAATTGGGTAAGGCAGCATTTAAGTACCTGCGCGACATCGTGGGTACGCCTTGGAGTGAGGCTGGCTTTGGGGCCAGGGTTGGAGTCTGGGGTTTAGGATTCATGGTTT